ATGGCTCTCCGAGATACCGACATCAGAGCTAGCACCACAAACATACACCACCCTGCAGATCTACTTACGACCAAAAGCACCACCAATCTACATACAAGACGGACAAACAGCCTCAACATCGGTACCCCAACACACTAATCACATCGCAACGCACTATGTCGAAGACGGCAACGATCAGAGATGCCTGCAATTCCTGGACACCATACGGCACCACCAGCAGCAATCCCAACGACAATTGGAAAAAGTTCGACAGTGCAACCTACGCAGTGCCGAACTACGGCAGCGACAAGACATTACTTCGGCAATGGCAGCACCGACTATGCCCAAGCCCAAGTTCCCAGTAGCAGAGCACAAAGCACCACAAATATCGAAGCCAAGGTTCCCCACCAGTCGGGCAGGTGGTGGACAATACTGGGGTTAGCACAAGTTCCCCACACAGGCCACCCTACACCGCGGCAAATATGGTGCAAGATATGCAGACTGGAAATCTAGCTCTACGACATCACATCTTCTACCATTCAACTGATACATCAGGTACGGCATGCGACAAAGGTATTGGGGCACTGGGAGTTGTCTACGACATCACAGCATCCATATCAGCCAGCACCAGAACTATAAGGAGGATTACTGACTCACTCCCCCTCCATATTCGCAATTGGTTTGCTTACGTCCGCATCTCCCAGCTCACCGTCCTAGTTCTACACATCCCGCAGAGGGATTCCAGCTCATGTCGTCTACCTTCCGCTTCTTATCACAGCTCACTTAAGGCCCCTCATGCGGTCGTCTCCTGCGCTCGCCGCCTCTGTCGTCTCGCCCCTCCCTCCTCTCGCCCTTCCCGCTCCTTGTTGGCCAGCGGCATCTCCCCCCTAACAAGGGGTCGTCCCTCGCTGTTAGCTGGTGAACGTTGAGCTCTCGTGTGTCCGCTTGCGGATACACGGGAGCTCAGCGGTCGCCTCCTGCGGCTCGGCACCTCCCCTGCTCCCCACCCCCTTATTATCGCCCGCCGTTGCTGCCTGCTGGTGGTCCGAGCACTCTGCTCACACTCAGCACTCCTTCTCTCTTTTTTATGTGTCGCCTCTGATACACCATCCAGCAGCCTGCCTAGTACTCTGCATCGTTTGGGGGGGCGTTGGAGGATGGGAGGGTGGCGTTGGCTACTGTTCGCGCACGCATGCTCTTCTCGACGGCTCACCTTCCAGTTGCAAATTCCAGCAGTTCAACTCTCTTGGTCACACCTTGGCCAACTGACCAAGGACACCATGAGCTCGGCCAGCCTCTATTCTCAGCTGATGATACAGCGGTTACGGTGAGTTGCCAGCTTAGCGCTTCGGTAGGGGAGTGGTTTGGACACTCCCACTGTGGACCACCGACCACAGCTTGCCCAGTATGCAGCACTCTCTTCTCGGTCAACAAGTGATACATCTCTTTAAACACTATGACCAACCAGTACCGCCTGAGCCAGCCACTTGTATCGGTATCAGTTTGCTCTACCGCCCAGGCTAGCCAGTACAGTCTGGCAAGACTTAAGCTCGGGGGGATTGGATCTAGGGAAAGTAGATGCCTGTTGGTGGTGGATGTGGAGGAAGCTTCGCTCACAAGGCAAGCCAGTGCCGACAGATCATGTCATCTTGACAGATCCTGAAGCCAGCATGTACATCTTCGACAGCCTCTTGTCAGATCGAGGCTGGACAGGTACTTCGCCAGCACCGTAACTCTGAATAGTCACTTCCCAGACCAGCCTGTACATCATATCATGATGAGGCAGGGCGATTGCTCGGGGAAGCTTTGGGCGGTAGTGCTCACAGGCGCGGCCCTGGCAGATGGCGCGGCCAGCTCGTTTATCCTGGTGCTAAGCCTGCCTCGACGCTTGGCTCACTTGCGCACTGCATTGACGAGTAGAAGTCCTGGCTGACAAATGGGGTTACAGAGGTCACGATGGTGGCCACAATGACGGGGGCACCCCCCACAGGAACTGAGACGGAGAAAAAAAAACACCCCCCGAAAAACCGAAAACACTACGGGTAGCAGCCGGAGAATTGCCACGTTTTTGTATGATCTTACCTCTCTATAAGCCAGCCAGGGTAGACAGCGCCAGCCTATGCACGCACCCACCTAGGCATCATTATACCGTCACCTGTGCATTGTCCATTGCTTTCTCACTTCCCCATACTTTGATATACCTTCCCGATGTGCTACCAGCGTCGCCTGTTTTGAAATATTAGTGCTCTCACCTTTTTCTAGACACGGCCTGACAGAACCAATGCATGGGAGAGGTGGGGGACAGGTATATGGGCAGGATTGGTAGGGGGAGGAGGAAGCTCCGCCCTACTAGGCCAGCCAGTGCCGACCAGGCCAGCCTATATTATAGCCAGTATATAGTTTGCGTTAGCCTCCTGCCAACTCGAGACTGGTCAGATCTTTCGCCAGCGCCGTAATTTCATCATAGGCCAGTCTCACACCTTGTCATCTTCCCCACTGACAGGCCATCAAGACTTTAAATCGCTGTATTGCTTACCACACCTCTGAACGGCACATCTCTTACTGTGCCTTACCAGCATCGCCTGCTCTGCGTGCTTCGTTTTGCGTCTTTCACCCTAGACACTGCTAGCCTGGACAGACCTGGTGGGATGGACGGATATGGGGTGGGGCACAGGATAACTCAATGCATCGCAGCGCTACTAATTGCTCACGGCCGCCCACCCTCATTTTAGCACTTAGAAGACGTCAAGAAACGGGCCGCCTACTGTTGCAGGTGTATATCGTCCCTCTCCGTTCGATTCGTCCTCGAATCAATTTTGACTCAGGTTAACTTTCGCTCGGTCTCTCCTCCCCACATACCGCCTGGCTGGCGCATACTATGAGCCCTCGGGGGCCCTCTTCTTTTCCTGCTCTTGTTGCCTGTCCAGCTCAGCTGCGCCAGCCAGGTGTAACTTGTTCTTCGCACCGCTCAGGTCGGCGCTCTCTGTTTCCATGCACGGCACGCTCCAGGCTTCCGCCCTACATCGCGCAACGTCAGCAAAGGGTTAGGTCGGGCATGTCCACCTACAGGCTGACTTGAGATGATATATATATATATATATATATAAATAAATAGATATGGGTACATACAACAACTCTTTCAAAATACAAGAACAACAACAAAAGCAAAACTCGAATTATGTCATAACAATAATCTCGAATATTGGTGACTACTTCTGCCTTTCCTGAACTTTCCTCCTGTAGAAGGACGTGCCCGACTTAAGAGAAGGAGGACACTCCCCCCCCGCGACCATTTCGCGTCGAAGGCGCCCTCCGGGATGGCGGCCCTGGCCGGCTGGCTGCCCGCCGACCGCTGCCGGCGTGCGGCCGCCGCCGGGGCCGCGGCCCGTGGTGCCTCTGCGGGGCGCGCCGGCGCGGCCGAGAGAGAGAGGAGGCCCAGGAAGATGTCCTCTGGGCGGCGAGCCACCACCACCACCACCACTGAGCCGTGCGTCCGGAGGGACGCGTGGGCAGAAGAGTGCGCGATTGGCAAACTCTTCACGAAGATATGGATGAAAGGACACTGCAGAGCGACTGCGTGCCCGCACAGGCCCGACCGTGAAGCAGAAGCGGAGTGCCTCACGACCGTGGGCGGCGAGCGAGGCAGAGATTGGCCAGCGAGTTCTGATGGGCAGCCGTCGGCCAGACGTAAGAGTGGCCCTTCGCCGGAGTGGACTTTGGTGCGGGCTCATCGGGGTCCCCCCGATCGCTGGGCGCGATGCGCCGGCGCCCGACATCGCGCGCTTGGATTTGGCCACCTTGCGCCGCCGTAGTCCGCGCACCAGAGGTCACTCTTGCCTGGGGTCGCTCTTGCGTGTAGCCGAAGCTCGGAGGCGAGCGAGGGGGGGGGGTGAGAAGGGGGCGGGCCTTTTCAGAAGGCTCGGAAGTCCTCGGCCTTCTGAGAAGTGTCCTGAGCCTTCCCCGACGACACAGAAAAAACTTCTCGGCTCTCAGAAGGCACGATGGCTTCTCAGAGGTCCCGCCGCTTTCTGAGAAGGCCTTGTTTTTTACAATTACACAATATGAATATTACTCTCCTCTCTCCCCTGGTGACGTCCGGGGATTGTTCGGCCCCACTCCGCGTACTGGTTGTTTACACAGGATTCCTGGGGTTGGGTTTCGCTTGGGTTTTTGTTCAAAATGCTGCTCTCGCTGAAGCGCTGGCTTCATTTTCGGGCTACCGATCTTTTCGAATCGTGCTCCCGCTGCAGCGCTGGCCTCATTGCCGCGCTTCCGCTCGTTCCGAGTCGTGCTCCCGCTGCAGCGCTGCCGTCATTATTTCCAGCGCCATGCCACGGCATGGTTTTCGGTCCTTCCGAATAGGCCCAAAATCTGGAAAATGCCCCCCCGAAAAAACCGTCGGAAGTGATTACACATTCGGTGTCGATTCGTTGATTTTCGAAGTCTCAGCAGCCCCCCCCTCACCCTCACTTTGGGGCGTCGCCACGCCATGCTATGTCAGGCTACGCGTTGATCTTCAACACCATGCTATGCCATGTAATGCTATGCCCTGCTACGACATCCGACTGCGCGAATAGAGAGGAAATCTACGCCATGGTAAGGAATTGGAGGGAGGGGTAGGACGTCAGATATGATGCGAGCGCACCTAGCTTGTCGCTTCCCCCTCGCTCGCCGCCGATTCTTGATGCTGAAGGTTTTTCGAAAGCTTCTGCAGGGAGAGTCTCACGTTGCATCGTCAATGCGGCGCGATCCTCCGACCCCATCTGCTCGGGCCTTCTCTAGGCGGCCTGGATTTCTGCAGGTTTTACCGCGCGGAGGTCTCCAAAGGTTTCGGGAGGGTGCCGACGCGACGGCGCCAATGCCTGGAGGGGCTCCCTCTTCCCCTGGGATTTTCGGACAGCGTTCGAACGTTTTCTCGGGCCTTCGGGGCCCAGGGCGTCTCCCATCAGCTGCGCCGTGTCGAGAGCGCTCCAAGGGGTGCCCGAATCTTCCTGATGGGCCGTCGGCAGATGCCCGAATTACGGTTAGGTCGGGCATGTCCTCCTACAGGCGGATTTTGGAGGAAAAAGTAGTACTAGTTAGTCAAACAAATATTGAAACATAGAAGAAACATCGTACCGATACTATGTTTGAAACAATGTTTGAATGTTCCTCCTGTAGAGGGAGAGGCCCGACTTAGAATTACGGTCGGGAACCGTTGCTCTCCTCGCCGCGGCGGCCCCCGCGGCACGCTGTGCCGCGCGAGCGGCTCGCGGTGCCGCGCCGCTCGGCGGGGGCGGGAGAGGCCCGAGGAGGGCTCGGGGCGCGGACGCTCGGGGCATGGGAGGGCGGGCGGCGGGCCGCGCCGAAGCGCGGTGAGCCAGAGCCGGCGGAGCGGCACGCTGTCCAAAGAGCTTCCCGACCGCCTGGCCCGAAGAGAGCAGCGCACGGCCGGGGGGCTTTCGGCAACATCCAGCCCCCAGAGGGGGGGGGCCCTTGCCGCACCCGGGGTCCAGAGAGGCGGCAACATTGGCCAACAAAAAGACGCCCCCCCCCCGCAAAAAAAACGAAACCCAACAAAAAACAAAAGTACATGCAAACCCAACTCTATTCTCCGAGAAATAATAAGAATATCTTCCCATATATACATATATAATAAATATGAGAGGGAGAATAACAAATGAAACTTAAAACATACAATAAAGAAAACATGTGCACCGCGCGGGCCCAGACCTCCTCGCGAGGTAGGAAGGAACAACAACAACAACAACAACAACAACAACAACAACAACAACAACAACAACAACAACAACAACAACAACAACAACAACAACAACAGCGACGACGACGACGACGACGACGACGACGACAACAACAACAACAACAAGAACAACAACAACAACAACAACAACAACAACAACAACAACAACAACAACAACAACAATCATTTTACCCAACACCAGTGCCAGGGTTTTCATGCGACGCGAGACAATACCCCCAGGCAGTTCAAGCTCTACCAAATATCCAAACGACTCTTCGCGACCACCCAAACCCAGCTTCCCGCCCTATGACGTTGGGACACTTCACTTCGTGGCGTGCGGACGACCGTGGCTACTACACTGGCGTGGGGTACACACCCACAGAACTTGGTCACTTATTCGGGGCGCGCGTGTGCCCAGCATCCTGCAATTGTGACATACAATACATGACACAGACAGACAGAGAGAGAGACAGAGAGCAGACAGAGAGAGAGACAGAGAGAGCGGAGTTGGTCACATTTTTGGGGCAAGTTCCTGAGATCGTCGTGTTTTTTGTTGGTCTTGCGCGCGCGAATGTCCACTTTACTTTTTTTTGCAAGGGAGTATTGAAATTTGATTATGTTAGAACAAGAAAAAGTAGCTCGCGCGAGCTCATGTAACATAAATGTTGAAAAACCATTGGTTTTGTGGGAGTCGGACAGCGCGCGCGGGATGAAATTTGGACATTTTTTTTTGAAAAACCATTGGGTTTTTGATGTTTTTATGTTGAAATCGTTACGAAACCTAAGGTTCTGGAAGGATTTCGTCTTGCGCGCGCGAATGTCCACTTTACCTTATTTTTTGCAAGGGATTATTGAAATTTGATTATGTTAGAACAAGAAAAAGTAGCTCGCGCGAGCTCATGTAACATAAATGTTGAAAAACCATTGGTTTTGTGGGATTCGGACAGCGCGCGCGGAAGGACATTTTGACAATTTTTTCTTAAAAAACCATTGGGTTTTTGATGTTTTTATGTTAAAATCGTTACGAAACCTAAGGTTTTGGAAGGATTTCGTCTTGCGCGCACGAATGTCCACTTTACCTTATTTTTTGCAAGGGATTCTTGCAATTTGATCAAGTAAGAACAAGAATTTTCATTTTATAGTGTTTTTTGCAAGGGAAAACGGAGTACAACAAAACAACCGGATCCGGTAATAATTCACTTTTCTGAAGCTTTCGCGAAAAAATGATGAAAATGTAGCTGCGGCCTAGGTTTTGGAGGGGGGTCGCGCACCAGGGGTCCCAACAATAATTATTCTTTAGAAGTAATAATGTTCAACAACAACAACGACGACACGGCGGGAAGACGTGGACGGGGTGTTCGGCCGCCTCGGAGGCCCTCCCCGGGCCGCCCGGGGACCCTCAAGAGCCGACCCGGAATGACAAGCCCGCCCCCGGGGGAGGGGAGGAGGAGAAGGAGGAGGAGGAGGAGGAGGAGGAGGAGGAGGAGGAGGAGGAGGAGGAGGAGGAGGAGGAGGAGGAGGAGGGGGGGGCCCAGACCTCTGGGGGTCCACCCGTCGAAAGAGAGAGAGAGAGAGAGAGCACGACGCTGGAGCTCTCGGGATGAGTTGGCCCTGAACGATCGCAGCCGACCCCGCGAGCGCGCCTGCACGCCAGGGCATGCTCGACCGCCGGGTGCGATCCAGACTGAGCGGATCGGCATGCGGCCGCGCCGCCTGCACGCACGAGCCGGGGCTCGTAGGGGGAGGTACGCCCGCCAAGTTCGCCTCCACTCCTGCACCCCCTCCTCCTACTCCTGCTCCTATTCCTGATTATCCTCTTCGTCCTCCTCCTCCTCCTCCTCCTCCTCCTCTTCCTCCTCCTCCTCGTCCGCCTCCTCCTCCCCCTCCTCCTCCCCGACCTCATCGTCCTCCCGTGTCTCAGTTCTGCTGGCTGACGAACGCAGAAAGCTAAAGCGCGGCATGCACCTCAGGCGGTCCTGGCTTCGCCGGGGCAACGCTCCGTGCGGCGGCGTTCCGACCCAGCCCGGCGTGGGTGCAGCCCCCGAGGCACGTCCACCTGCGACAGCGCTGAGCTCGGAGAGGCACGCAAATCCCTTGCAGACCTACGGGCCCAATCGACAGCGCAAAGGCGAACAGCACGGCAGCCAGCGGCTCGGTCTGAAGAGGTCGCCCGACGGTGCGCGGTCACCGAGGCGTCCCTCCCCTGCGGGAAGCCGAAGGGGGGGGAAGGGACTGGCTCGTGGGTGGGGGGGGAGACGATGACCTGGAATCGACGCTACGCCGCCGATTGATCGGGGATTCCCCACGAAGGCGTTGCACTACTCGCAGAATAGCTGCTCGCAAGTGGCCTGGATCCGCCGCGGAGGATCTCTGCGACCCATGGCATCGAGGCGAGCATGGTTTTCGTCGGACGCTTGCGAGTAGGCACTTTGCGAGTAGTGGAACGCGCTCGGCGAACGATGGGGCAGCCCCATACTCCCAGGCCGGTCGGGTCACCCAAGCACCGATCGGCGAAGAACGGGTGATCGGGGATCGATGATCCCCCCTGAGCTGGTCCCCTCACCCACCCACCCCGCGTTGTCGGCGCTACAGGTCGGACTTGATTGCGCAGGACACGCGAACGGACACAAGACCCTTCCGAGGGCCACATTGCCATCGGACTGTGGGAGGCATGGGTCGCGAGACAGAGGCCACAAGGGTACCCCTGATTTGGCAGGGTCGACCTGCTAATCACGGCCGACTATAATCCCTGCCGCACATGGGAAAAGATCGGCGTGCCAGCGGCAGGGAGGACGATGCCGGCCTGAAGCAGCACGGCCGTGAGACTGAACGACTGGACCCGGCAGGCCCCACGTCAGATCCCCTTCTCAGGCGGCGGGGTGCCCTCCTCCCCACAGCCTGGGCACCCCTCCCCAGCGAGGGGCGACTAAACCGCCACTGCGATCGACAGGAGCCCGCTCTCTGCGGGCACTGTCGCGGAGAGCAAATTGGAGCCTTCGGGTTGGGTTGGGGTGGTTTAGTGGGTGGTGAGGAGGCCCTCTGGCCTCCAAATCGTCCGCTCCAATGCCCCCGTAGCTCGGGCCGGAGAGCGCCGCCTCTACAGAGAAACATCGTCTCGGATGCCGTTCTGGAGCTGCTGGCGGCCCGAATGTTGGGCGTCGCTTAGGCGGGGGGACGATAATTGGGGGGGGGGGGGGGACGGTGCCCTTCTCGGACCCTTCAGGCCCCCATTCTGCCCTCTGGGCCCCCAAAAGGCCCCATTCAGGGGCCCTAGAGGGCACCTTTTCTGCAGCCCTCGCTGCCCCCCCCCCTTTGTATCGCCCCCCATCACGCGAGGCCCAAGAATGCAGCAGGCTACCATTGCCACAACTTCCCGCAACCGCCAAAGAACTTCAGGCAGCCTCGAGAACTATGGTAGCGTCTGCTCCCCAGCGTGGGCCGTCTATAGATGAACATTGTTCTGGAAGCCGTTATGGAATTACTGGCGGCCCGACTGCAGCAGGCTACTATGTCCACAACCTTCTACAGCCAGCAAAGAACTTGAGGGAGCCTCTCCTGGCTCTCTCCCCTGGCTCTCTCCCAGGTCCGCCAGGTGCGCGTCTCGAAGCTGAGGACCCTCCCCTTCAAAGTAAACGGCAGTGGTATGGATGCTGGCACACAGGGGGCTTTCGCGGCGGTAGGAGGAAGAAGCATGATAATCATGATGGGGAGGAGGGGATCCCCGCAGCCGACCACCCGTGTAGGGAGTCCTTTCGTCCATATCGTCTTCGCCGTCGTTGCCGTCGTCCTCCTCCTCCTCCTCCTCCTCCTCCTCCTCCTCCTCCTCCTCCTCGTCATCATCATCAACATCATCATCATCAGCAGCAGCAGCATCATCATCATCCTCATCTTCCTCCTCCTCCTCTTCCCCCTCTCCGTCCTCATCCCTACTCGACGTGGTCTTCTTACTTGTCATCATTGTTGACGTGGCGCGAACTCGAGCCGTAGGACTTTAGCGTCCTCCTCCTCCTACGACGACTACTACTACTACGACTACAACTACTACTACTACTACTACTACGACTACTACTACAACTACTACTACTACTACTACTACTACTACTACTACTACTACTACTACTACTACTACTACTACTACTACTACTACTACTACTACTACTACTACTACTACTACTACGACTACGACTACTACTACTACTACTACTACTACTACTACTACTACTACTACTACTACTACTACTACTACTACTACTACTACTACTACTACTACTACTACTACTA